AAAAAAAAAAAAAAAAAAAGAGAAAAAGTGAGAAGACAGCCGGGGTGAAGAAGGAGGCGGCGAGGCAGGTAAAAGGAAGGAGAAGGGTGGCGACGAAGGGGAAGCCGTCCGCCATAGCCGAACGGAGACTTGACCGGAGTTTACCGGGAGTTGACCGGAGTTGACCGGGGTTTAACTGCAGCATTGACCAAGCGTTGACCAAGACTGTTGACCACGATTTTCACCAAGCTGGAGCCGGTATAATCTCGCCAAACCTTCAATCTATCCCCTGCCCCTATGGATGTGCACACACCCTGTGGTACTTGCTGAGTCAGGTCAGTCTGTCTCTTCTTTCTGCATCGAGCCTCTTATGTCCAGGTGATAGGACTCTATGGATGAAGGATAGGGCCTTGTCAACCAAACCCACACGGGCTGAGTAGGGCTAAAGACTGTGTCTGACGACTCGACTGTCCCGGAGGACACGAACCATCCCAAGGACCGGTACTGACCGGCGGGCTGCTCGGTGTGGCACGGTAGGCCCAAAATCCGAGCTGTGGGCTGCGCAATAGGCCGTCTAAGTTTTGAGAGGACCTGCTGAATCAGTGCTGATCGCATCGTCTTGTCTGCGACGTTAAAGAATTGCTGAGGAGTTACGGGGGATCTCCTTAAACGCCTCCTGATCAGCAACAGGTCCTGTAGTGACAGTCATAGTTTACGTCCAGGCTAGTGACTCTAGTTGACAGGATCCTATCCGGATTCTATGGTCCTTAGATTGAGTCAGTAGGTCATGTCAGCCAGGGGGTAGAGTCTAAGTGGTGAGGAGTGGAACCGTTGTCCGGTTGTGCACCCGACACCATGGTTGAAACACGTACTGGTAAGAGTACTGCCCCACAGTCGGAAGTTGAACAGACATGGATCACCGCCATCCTAAGAGAGAGAAAGGACAAGGAGCTCCTCAAACAGGCGAAGTTGAAGGCGATAGCTGAGGAGCAGGCGGCGAAGAAGAAGAAATTGGACGAGGAGATGATAAGATTACAGCAGGAGGAGGAAGAGAAAAAGAGGGCTGCCGAAGAGGAAGCAGCAGCGGAGGAGGAAGAAGTAGAAGAAGAACCACTCGAAAGGTCGCGTAGGGAAGAAACGGGGGAAAGCAGTGGGACGAAAGCAGAAGATCAGTGGATGGAGAAGAAGATCAGTGAATGGGTGGCAAATTTATCATTGGGGGAAGATGAAGAGGCAATGTTGTATGTGCCGCAGGAGGAGAAAGAAGCAATAGCCAGGCAGTTGCAAGCTACGGAAGATCCCCTGGATCGCCAGACACTAGAGGATGAAAAAAGATTGGAGTGGAAATTGCATCTGGCAAGGGAGAAGAGGAGGGAGGAGGCCAACCGGATGACCAAGGAAGTGGAGAAGGTTCAATTGTGTAGGCAGGAGGTGCATGCGCAACAGGAAACCCCGGCCAAATTAGACAAGACTCTAAGTTGTCTTGAGATTTTGAGTCAGGCCTGGCTTGAACAACATCAGGCCAATAAGGGTCAAGAAGTGGCCCTCCATGCCATCCGGACTGGGTTTAGAGAATTTGTTGCGCGGGACGTGGTGACCCACGTCGGGACCGAAGTGAAGAGGTTGAAGGAAAGCGCAACCAAGTTTTGTGCAGGCGGCATTGAAGGCACCAAAGTAGTGGCCACAACAGAGGCTGAAGCGCGTCCCCGCAAGAAGCCTGTAAAGCTCAAGTTTCCAGATGCATATGGCGGAAAAGCTGAAGAAAATTTCGATAACTGGGAGGCTAGCGTTAATAGTTATGTGTATTTACAGCACATTGCACCTGAGGAGCAGGTCCTAGTAGCCTTCCACGCTTTAAAGGATGATGCGGCTACCTTCCCTAGGTCCCTAGCGTGCGCAGCCAGTTGTGAGAACAACATGGTTGCTTATTCTAAAGTCACCTCCCTTCCCCATTTCTTCAAGCTCCTCCGAGAGCGATTTGCTGATCTGAGGCGTGGTGTTAAAGCCTAAGTCAAACTCCAGACCATCCACTCACGACAGTGGAGGAGTGCGCGAGCACTCAAAGCCGTTATGGACGACTTGGTAGCCGTCCCAGACCACTGGGTCACTGAGGCCCAGTTGGTCCAATTGTTTTATCGTGTCATGCCAGAGCCCTTACGAGGGCATTTCTTTGACAAAAGTCAACAGCCCACCATAACGTACGATGCTTTGAGTAGGGAGGTGGTGTTGTATGATGCAAAGTCCATGTCAGTGTCCACTTTCTGGCACCGTACCATCTCAGGTCAGGTCAGGGCCAAGGATCATTTGATCCTTGCTTTAGATGAAGGTAGTACTGACGCAGTCCCCTACAGTCAGATTGAGTGGGGGCTAGAGGAGGAGGACAGCGGTATAGGCCAGGGGAGGACCTATGCTGCTGTCGCGGCTGGAGGGAGGCCGCAAGGTAGAGGAGGAGGCCAGGGCCACAGGGGCCAGGCCACAAGTGGTCGAGGACCGACGGCGCAGGGGGCGGCCAAAGGAACTGCCAAGAGGGAGGTAGGGGTCAAGGTCCCCCGTCAAACCGTCAAGGTCCTAGTTGCTCCCCGCAGCGACGAGGTGGAGGATCACCTCAGAGGAAAGGAGGTTGGCATCCAGGTTGACCACAAGGCCGGCCTTGGGAAGATCCGGGCCTGGACCAACGAGTATGGCAGCAGCGTATGGACCAAGGTCAGTGCATATATTACGGTGACCCAGCCCATATAATTAAATATTGTCCCAAGTACAGAGAGGCCCGATGGGCTGCCCACGAGTCAAAAGGCAGCCGCTGGTAGGGGTTGCCACTGCCCCTACTACAAGGCCATGAGGGGAAGCGAGCGCGCTCGAACAAGAAACTCCCACACCACATGAGCCTTCGGCAGAGGTTGTAGGCGAGTGCCTAGTTAGCTGTCTGGATACTGCTTGTGTCTGCTTGTGTTAGCCTCTCTCTAGGCACTTCCCTCACAGGCGTGGCAGAAGAGTTGAAGGAGAGGATGCCTGCCTGGGCCAAAATGAAGAAGGATAGCAAGGGACAACTACTCTTTGTTAATATAGAGGTTTTCATAAGTAGAGTAGGAGCCCTTATAGATCCAAGGGCTACTCGCAATTATGTCAGCCGTAGAGCGCTAAAGAACCTAAGGGTAAGGTTGAAAGTCCAAAAATTGGAAGACCCCATAGTTAGTGTCCTCGCAGACAACCGCACTATGCGTGTTGAGGACTACGCAAACGGAGTCCAGACGTATTTCCGCCTAGAGAAAAATGGGAAGGTGGAGAGAGTTCTCCATTCCCTGACTCTCCTCGTACAAGATGACCTTCCTTTTGACATAGGCCTAGGTACGGATTGGGGAAAGGCAGCAGGGGCCACACTCCACTTGAGAGAGCATAAGTGTAGGCTCCCTAGTCCGTCAGGCGAGGTTAAGATGACCCGTTTGTTTCACGTGTCAGAAGTAAACAACCCCTTGGCACATTGTTGTCTCAGTACTCCCGCGTTCACGCGATTAATAAGAAAGGAGCAGTTCGAGGAACAGGTCTTCGTAGCGTACGTAAGGCCTGTCACTGAGCCTAAGGAGGACACACCCATAGATCCAACCATTGCCAAGCTGCTCGAAGGATTTAGTAGAGCCGCCAATAGTAGTGCCGCGGTCGATCCATCATCGTATAAAGATAGGACTCCTAAGGGAGCAGTCTACAGGATGTCCCCAAGGGAGTTAGAGCTACGTAAACAGTTGGACGAGCTCCTGAAAAAGGGTTGGATTAGTCCCAATTCATCTCCTTTTGGAGCACCAGTCTTGTTTGTCCCCCAAAAGGAAGGAGAGTTACGAATGTGCATAGACTATAGGGGTTTAAACGCGATCACAATAAAGAACGTTGAGCCACTGCCCGAGATAGACGATCTCCTAGATCGAGTGCAGGGCTGCAGATATTTTTCAAAGATCGACCTGAAGTCCAGGTATCATCAGATAGAGGTCCATCCTGATGATCGGTACAAGACTGTGTTCCGAACTAGATATGGGCACTATGAGTTCATAGTCATGCCCTTTGGACTAACCAATGCTCCTGCTACGTTTCAGCGCGGTATGAACGATTTGTTTAGGCCATGGTTAACATTTGTTGTAGTTTATCTAGATGATATATTAGTATTTAGTAGGACCCTCCAAGAGCATCAAGGTCATTTAAGGCAGGTCTTGGAGATGCTGAGAGAGGCCAACTTCAAGATCAATGCAAAAAAGTAAGTGGGCCAATACTTGGGCCACGTTTTAGATGGAGATGGCGTTAAACCTGTGGACAACAAGATAGCGGGGATTAGAAATTGGGCGACGCCCCGCACGTTGACCGAGTTGCGGTCGTTCCTAGGCCTAGCTACCTACTACAGGAAGTTCGTGAGGAACTTCTCGACTATCGCCTCCCAAGTTGCTCAAGAAAGAGGCAATCTGGCAGTGGGATAAAGATTGTACGGCTGCGCTAAAGAAATTAAAGCGCGCATTGATAGAGTACCCTGTCCTCAAAGTAGCAGATCCGTCTTTGCCATTTGTCGTCACCACGGACGCGAGTCAATATGGTATAAGCGCCGTGTTCCTGCAAGACAACGACAATGGCTACTGACCCGTAGAGTTCATGTCAGCAAGGATGACCTCACGAGAGAGAACTCTACGCTCTCAGGCAGGCCTTAAAACATTGGAAGTATTACCTGCTTGGGAGACACTTCAAAGTATATTCAGACCACGAGACTCTTAGGTGGCTGAAGACAGGCCAAAATGACACCTAAGTTGACTAGGTGGGCCGCTGAGATAGACCAGTATGACTTTGCGCTCAAATCGGTCAAGAGCAAGTACAATGTGGTTGTGGATGTTCTAGGTAGGAGGTCAGATTACTTTGGAGCTGTAGTCCACTATCTGGATGTATGGATAGACCTGCAAGAGAAAGTAAAACAAAAAAAACGCAGCACCCTATCTATAGCAACCTCCTCAAAAGAGTCAAGGAGGCTCCAAAGACAGAACCACACTATCGCACGACAAGAGGGTTGTTGTTCGAGAATACCGACGTAGTAGACCGCCTGTGTATTCCCAATAATGAGGAGATCCGTAGGGGAATGCCGATACAAAGGGATATTTCGTTTGACAAAAGACTCTCGCCAACCTGATGCATGCGTACACATGGCCGGGAATGAAGAACGATTGCATAATGTACATCCACAGTTGCAAAGTTTGCCAAAGAAATAAAACCACTACGCTGCCCCTCTAGGTCTTCTCAGACCCTTGCCTATTCCTGATCAGTCAGGAGATTCAGTGTCCATTGACTTTATGGATGTCAGCGTCAAGAATAGGCATGGTAAAAGCTAAGTCATGGTCATAGTTGATAGATTCAATAAGTATGCTGTTCTTGTTCCATTACCCGCAGAAGCTCGTACTGAGCTAAGTCATTCAGAAGTTTTTTTATTTTCGGGTTGGTGAGCATGGAGTCCCATTGTCCATCATTAGTGATTGAGATACCCGTTTACGAGTTAGAACTGGCAGGAATTGATGAAAGTTTGTCAGAGTTGATGATGTCATCTGGCCGTCATCCAGACTAACGGTCAGACTGAACAGATGAACAAAATCTTGCAACAAGTTCTGCGCATGTACATTAGACCAGATCAAGTCAATTGGGACGAGATGTTGCCCAAGGTAGCTAGTGCGTATAACAACAGCGTGCAATTGTCCACTTGTCGCACTCCCCACGAGTTACGTAAGTCCTTTTGACCGCGCAGACTGTTTGAGGGACTTAACCGGGACCAGATTCACAGGCCACCGCCTGGTACCAAGGAGTTTGTGATACAACATGAGAAAGAACTAGCTACAGTCGCCGATAACCTCAAGAAGGCCCAGCATAGAATGATAGAGCAAGCCAGTAAGGACCATCGCCCATCACAATTCCAAGTAGGTGACTTAGTCTGGGTCAAGTCCAAGCCAGTAAGCACCATCGCCCATCGCAATTCCAAGTAGGTGACTTAGTCTGCGTTAGGTGACTTAGTCTGGGTCAAGTCCAAAGAGTTTGGATGGGCCGTCCTACACCGTAGAGATCCCAGCACACCTCCACACCTACCCCGTATTTCACGCGTCAAAACTATTGTCGTGTGTCACAAGCCAACAGTTTCCCTCAAGAAGATCCATGATCCCCTCGGATATGGATAGGAGATATGACATCGAGGGCATTGTAGGTGAGGACGTATTCAGGACAGGAGGTAGAGGTCGTCCACAGAAAGAGTACAAGGTCCGATTCGCATATCAAGAACCGGAAGATAACCGCTGGTTTACAAGAACTGAACTTCTAGAAACAGCTCCTGACGTAGTTAGGGCCTTTGAAAGAGAGAAGAAAGGCGAAGGTCCGACCTTGAACTGAGATATTCTCGGAGGACCTCGAATTTAGGCCTGCGGGAGTGAAACGGATTCCACCTTTGCAGTAGCCGATGCAGATCCCAGGGCTCTATCCCTAGTCCTTACCTTACCTGTGTACAGCATCTGTGTCAAACCCAGGAGTTGAACCCACGACCTTTGTCTTTCCCCACAGTTGGTAGGTTGTCGTAGGTCCGTAGGTTATAGGGATACGATCTATAGACCTGTTGGACAGGAGTGGAACGGATTCCACCTTTGCAGTAGCTGATGCAGATCCCAAGGCTCGATCCCTAGTCCTTACCTTACATGTGTACAGTATCTGTGTCGAACCCAGGAGTTGAACCCACCACCTGTGTCTTTCCCACAGTTGGTAGGTTGTCGTAGGTCTGTAGGTTATAGGGGTTCGATTTGTAGACCTGTTGGATAGGAGTCCTAGTTAGTTCTAGAAGTCGTATCTGTAGCTCCTCCGAAGGGTCAAGGTCGTAGCTGCTACAGTCCTGAAAGGTCAAGGTCGTAGCTGCTACAGTACCGAAAGGCCAAGTCCACGGTCGTCCGGAAGGTCCGGAAGTGGCCTTTCGGGTACTGCCCACAGTAGACTGAGGCAAGTGGGCAAGTGGCTTCACCGATGCTGAGTCAACAGTACCCAATCCCAATCAGTCGCAGTCCAGTCAAGCAAGTACCGTGTGGGACTATGTGC